ACACTAGGATAGATAAGATTAGGAATGACGATATTCGGGAGAAAGTGGGTGTGGCCTCTGTGGAAGACAAGATGCGGGAAGCAAGACTCAGATGGTTCGTGCACGTGCGGAGAAGAAGCTTGGATGCTCCGGTGAGGAGGTGTGAGCTGCTGGCTTTAGTGAGTTCGAGAAGAGGTAGAGGACGACCTAAGAAGTATTGGGGAGAGGTGATCAGGCAGAACCTGACACGATTGCAGATTTCCGAGGACATGGCCCTTGATAGAAAGGTTTGGAGGTCGAGCATTAGGGTTGTAGGATAGGGTGGTAGTCGAACTTCTCCTCCTCCATTCCGGGGGCGAAGCGAGTTTGAGTAGGTTGGTCCTAGACAGGCTTGTGGTTAATGTCTTCACACTAACCTTACTGTTTTCCATAGCTCTAGACCTTAGTTGTGGGTTATGGTTATTGCATGTCATCTATTTTATGGTTTTTAGGATGCTGTCATTATTTCTATGGTTATGTTTGTTGACGTTACTGATGAATTGTCTTTTCTTGTTTTCTTGTTTTATTTTCATCTTCCTGAGCCGAGGGTCTATTGGAAACAGCCTCTCTGCCCTATTGGGGTAGGGATAAGGTCTGCGTACACACTACCCTCCCCAGACCCCACTTAGTGGGACTTTACTGGGTTGTTGTTGTTGTTGTTGTTGTTGTTGTGTATAAAGAGACATACTTATACTGACGCTTCCTACTTTTGTAAAAAACTAGGCCGGAGGACTTGACAAACTTACGCTAGATAGTTTGTATGATGATGCAATGAGACAAACCAACCAAAATGTGAGCTATAATCCGTGGGAACCTGCACCAGTAGCTTCTCAAATGATGCCAAACGTTGGATACGACCCGTTCTACGTATCAAACATGGTGGCAGCCCCAACTAATGTGCAAATGGCAGCCATGGCGAACCAGCAACAGGCTTTCATGTTACAGCAACAACAACAACATATGATGATGATGACTCCCCAACCACAACCGACTGCGAATCCTTTCGCCAACCCTTATGGAGCAAATGCCAATCCATACGGCCCCGGTATGCCTGTACAAGCATATAATCCCTATCATACTGGCCTCATTTGAGCAATTTATGGAGAGACCATGTTGCTGTATTCAGCTATTGATTTTGATACTCAGGAAGCTATTGAAGAATAGATTTGTATCACTGCAGGAGGTAGTGTAAAATTATTTGTTAAATATTTAGGTAACTTTCTTGGTTCATTCTTTATTTGCAAACATGGCGGGAACGCTCAATAATTCTTGACTCTTAATTTTTTTCTTCTTCTAAACCTGCTTATTCTTGGGCTGGATTTTCTTATTGCCATTTCTTGGCTCTTTTATGAGTTTTGAATTTTTGTAAGATTTGTATTGTGAAACAAATTTGCTTAGTGATTGTACATGGTTTGGATATGAAATGTGGTCCTTTTGTATACTCTCTATTTTTACTATCTTCTTTTTATGAATTCTTCAAAGGAACTCTTCCTATGTTAGTTGAGGTATATTTGGCAAAGCGGTGACTAAAAAATGCTAGTTTTCTTAGATAAACGTGATTATCTCTTATACAGTTAGACATATCTATAACAACATCGATATATAACAATCATTCATTATAAAAGCTAAGTTTCTTTTGGAACTAATTTTCATGCTATGTTATAAACTTATAATATTTGTTCTCTAAAACAATATTTTGTTATAACAATCAAATTTTTTTTGGAACAAACGAGGCTGTCAGAGAGGTTTGACTCTACTAAGATGGGTAAAAATGGACTTGAAAAAATGCCATGAAGTTATATCTTATTTAAACAATAAGATTTGACCCCAAAATCTTACATCCATTAGGTTATAGGCTTTAAGAAAGCACCACAAATAAGCTGTTCTATTTTTCCAGACAAAAGAAAATTATGTAACTACTTACTAGTAGGGGTGTTCATAAAAATCCGAAAACCCGAAGACCAAATCAAACCGACCAAAAAAATCGATACTTTTTGTTTTGGTTTGGTTTTGGTTTTGAAATTTAAAAACCGATCAAATTTGGTTTGGTTTTGGTTTTAATTAAAAAAATCGAACCAAACCGAATATAGGAGTAGCTATTTTAAATTTATTATTACACATATATATATGTATACTTTTATACAAAGTTTTAAAAATTTTATAGTAAATATTAATCGTTTGCCCTTTTAGTACGGTTCTTTACCTTTACATTCTAGTTTAATTGGTAGTTTTCTTTTATTAAGTGTAAGAATCTATTTCATGTTAAAAATAATATATATTTAATTGAGTCCTTAAATTATTCATCACTATTTGATTCAATTATCATCAATATATCTTGGTAAATAATATATTTGTCAAAGGGCAATTGATTTGATAGTGTTACGTTGAAAATGTGGTTGCCGAAATGTGTGTTTGGTAGTGTATGTCTTATATTTAAGAAAAAAACCGACAAATAACCGAAAAAACCGAAAAATCGATATAAACCGAATCGAGAAAAAATCGACTTAGTTGGTTTGGTTTGGTTCTAATATTTGAAAAACCGACTTACTTGGTTTGGTTTCTTTTTAGGGAAAAACCGATCTAAACCAAACCATGAACACCCCTACTTACTAGAGACCTTATTTATCAAATTTCATTATAAAAATTATAATTTTTCTAAAGAATTCGCCGTGATATTACTTGGTTCGATACTGGCGAAGCCACGTTGAACCAAGGGGTGTCAAGCGATACCCCTTCGCCTGAAAATTACATTATATTGCTAGATAATTTATTTATTTTATGTATATTTACTATACATGATTTTTCGATGTATTTAATTATTTATATTTTGACAGCCCTTAATAAAAATTCTGGCTCCGTCACAGTTGGACAAATCGTTGTGGCGTAGGATCTGGAATTAGGTAGTGAGATTGCGCGGGACCCACCATTCTCAATATACAACTTTTGGTAACAGATAGAGACATCCCAAAAAATAGATAAAAATAAACAAAAACTCCATAAACGAAGCAACCAAATAACCAACTTTATTACACATCTCTCCACCAAAATAGTAATTAAAAAAAATATTAATAAGAAAAAGAACAAGTGGAAAAGACAACAGATAGAGTCAAGAGTCATAGAGTCCTAACTACTGGAATACTACTACTGACCTACCTTTGATAATAACCTTTCCAAAATAATAACTATACCAATATTTCTATCTCAAATTAATTTAATTGAGTATATGAATATAAAAATTTCCTCATTTGAATAGTTTATGTTGAGATATTTAGTATTTTTTTCGAGAAAGGGAGCCTTGGGTGTAACTGATAAGTGATAAAGTTACTGTCATGCGGTCAATAGATCACGAGTTCGAGCCGTGAAACTAGTCTCTTACAGAAACGTAGGGCAAGACTGCATATAATAGATCATTGTGGTCCGGTCCTTTCCAGACCCCTAGAACTTAATGTACCGGGCTGCCCTTTTATTTTAGTAATTTTTTTGGCAAATCGTTTTACTCTTAAATAATGATTCTTAAATCATTGTTCTATTAATAAATAATTACGTAATTAAGTGTGGAAAATAAATTACTATCAAACACGTGACTAAACACTTATGATCTCCAACCAAATAAGAAAATCTTGTAAACAATAGACTAGGAGTAACGTAAATGTACAAAAATAACTAATTTTTTTTATGTTTAACTGTAATTAGTTGGTCACGCTCGTATGAATAATTTAGCTAGCGTTTGACGATAGATTCCCAAATTTATTTTGAAATTTGATTTGGGTGAAGTTTGGTTTGAAGATGAAAATGTGTTTGGACATAAATTTTCAAAACATATTTTACTTTTTTTTGTTGAAAAAACATGAAACATGACTTATACGCACAAGTTCTAAAAACTATCACAAATACTCAACAGAACCTTTATCAATAGCATTCATTGTATTATTGTAAACTATAGTCCTGAACTTAAATAAATTTGGTACAAATTATCATTTTTATAATGAACTACATATACACTATCAGATGACCGAGAAGATAAAACAGCATTATTAAAAAATAATAAATGATGGGCTCTTTTATAAAATACAAAAGTTCGGAGCAATTTTTAAAAAAACGTAATAGTGATATTTTGGGGCCAAAACCAGCTTTTGAGCTGATTTTGGGATTTGAATTTTGGATTTTGGAAATTTGTCAAAATGTAGATAAAATTTATGGCCAAACATGTATTGCCAAAAAAATTCTAAATATACTTTGGCAAAATTTATGGCCAAACGGTCCTACTTTCCATTTGTCCTCCTTGAAGCACCACCTATATGATCTTGCTCATATTGTCGTAGTTCGACACCGTATAAAAGAAGAGGATTATAATACTGGTAATCAGGGAAAAACTAGCCAATTTTATGACTTAAAGAAAATTCTATCAAAGATTTTTATGCTAGTAAAAAATATATATTACTTTTACTACTTTTTTGTTTTGTTATACATAATATTATTTTAAGATGAGTTAAATACAGAATTCTAGTGAGTGAAACTAACTTTTTTGGGATTGAAATCACGTTGTTATTTGTGCCATCTTTCAAATAACAAGAAAAAGTTAGTAACCATAAAAGGTTATGGTAGAATAACAAATGCATCTTTATTCTTCATTAGAGGTTTTCGGTTTAAACTTTATCTACAAGTCCTTGAATTTAATTCCTAAAGTAAAAAAAAAATTGGCGCGAATAAAATTAAAAATCAATTACTCTATATATCATTTGAGGCAACATGCCAATCAAATTTGGCTTATATTTTACCTTATTATTAGTAATCATCAAAGGTCGTGGTAAAGTAATAAATATATCTTTCATTCTTAACTTCTTAACTAGAGATCTTGTTTCAAGCTTTATAATCCTCGAGCTTTATTTCCAAAGTAAAACTTATTCCGCGCGGGTGAGAAAAAGGAAAAAGGGAAAAATTAGTAAAAAGAATAAAAATTAAAGGAGGAAAAAGGAAATAACAATAAGAGAGAGAAAGAGCATTGAAGAAAGAGTTAAAAAAAAAAGATGTCATCTTGGTTCTCTCTTCCTCTTCCCAATCCTTTCAAATCCGACGACGACGACGATGCCGGCGGCGAAAAACCCTCGTCGCCGGCGGGTGAGAAAATTTCCGATCCTAATTCCTCCAGCATAAAGGAAGATTTTTCAGCAATTTCCCAAACCTTCTCCCACCACCTCCGCGGCGTCGCTTCTTTTCTCGCTCCGCCATCTCCAACCCAGTCATCGGAGCAAGTTTCGTCTTCTGAAAAATTCAGCGGAATTAGAAACGACTTAGTTGAAATTGGAGATAGCTTTAAATCAGGACTCTCTTTGTTCTCTTCGAACAAAGCTGTTTCAGAGATTTCAAAGTTAGCTTCTAATTTTTTACAGTTTAGTGATGAGTCGCGGAATGATCGTGAAACTGAAGATGAAGATCGCGGCGACGACGACGATGATGATTACGAAGAGGAAATTGTGGGCATTACGGATGAAGTGGTGGAGTTTGTTAGCACAATCTCACAGCGGCCTCAGTTGTGGACCGATTTTCCACTATCTTTACCCACTGGTAACTCCTAAATAATATTTTGCTCTAGTTCACTGATTATGTTTTAGAGTATTATTACTTGTTTTAGTTTCTTTGAGTGTTGATCATTTTAGAATAAGCAACTCTATTTAATATTGTTGATTGATAACCTAGAACTAGAATAAATGGTAAATGAATAGCAGGTTAAATTGTACAGATGGTGTAAGAAATTCATTACACTATTCTTTGCTGAGTGTCTCTCTAGTTTAAAATATAAGTGCGTCCAACCCAAAATCTTAAGGTAATGGGTGGAGTGGTCCAAGATATTATAAACCCTTACATAACTGATGAAGGACAAGTATATTCTCTAACAACTAGTCTACTCCATTACCACTTGTTAAAGGAGTTTGTGTGCTTCTTGCGTAAACATTGTTTCTGTGCCAGCTGCCTGCAACTCGACTAATCCAACTAGCAGTTCGCTGGGTAAACATTCCCGCTAAGATTCAAGTTAATGAATAGACCTGAATAGAGTAGATTTAATGTAGGTCATATAACCAACACCAAATGATTTGGATTAAGGCATATATTAATTGATTCACACAAAATTTTTTAAGGGTATGAATGATAGTGGTAAAAGAAGACGGGTAGATTTGCTTTTAAGGAGATGGAATCCAGACCTTGTTTGTTTCTCTGAAACAAAAATAAATGGCACGAGTCAAAAAAAATTATGCAGGGTCTAGGTGGAGTGAACGGGTGGAGTTGCTCAAGGTAATAGTCGGGAAATAGTGGTGTATTGGGATATAAGGAGATGCAGTTGCAGGGACAAATATGTGGGACAATACTTAGTAACTATGTTTCTTAAGGAGGAAAATTCTGGCTTTCAATGTACATTCGCAGGGATTTATGCACCCTGTGACAGGAAGTTGAGAATAGGATTGTGGAAGGAGTTGGCTGCACTTTATGGGTTGACCTCACAACCTTGGGTAATTAGTGGGGATTTTAATGTATTAGATTTGAGGATGAGAAGAAAGGTAATGCTAGAAGTACAAGAGCTATGATGGATTTTTCCAGAATCATTAATGAGCTGTCATCTACGTTGCTCGGACTCGGGTGCGGATATCCTATTCGAGTGCAGATCTAGAGGTCGGATTCTTCATTACATACACTTTAGGATTCGGGGGTATGGATCCCAGTGCAGATACGTTATTGGGATACAGCCAATAAATGTAGATTACGAGGAGTTGGTTGACAACTGGCCATGGAAACTCATCTGGAGAACTAAACTTCCACCTAAAGTAATTGACTTCACTTGGATAACTTTATATGAACCATGTCTCACTCAAGATAATCTAAGTCGGAGGAACATCTACATTGTGAATAGGTGCTACATGTGTCAGATGAAGGTAGGGAGTCTGAGAGTGTGAGACATTTTTTTCTCCATTGTGCAGTTGCAGCAGATTTGTGGAGTATGTTCTTCTCAATTTTTGGACTAGCCTGGGTCATGCCTAATAGTATTAAAGTGGCTTAGGTGCTCTTGGAGAGTTGGCAAATCCATTAAAAAACTTGGCTTTTGGTCCCCGCTTCTATTTTCTGGTGTATATGGACTGAAAGGAATAGCAGATATTTTGATGGGATATCAACTCCAAACCATTCTCTTAAAGCTAAATGTTTATTTAACCTTTTTACTTGGCTTAATTAGGCACCTGTATCTAGTTGTGATCATTTTTTGGACTTTGTCTGCTTCTTAGGTTTAACATAGGTTTCTTTTTGTAATTTTTATGAGCAGACACACTTTATTTACTTGTACCCTCTTTTACTATGCATCTTCTTGATGCCTTTAATGAAATTCTCTTACTTCATCAAAAAAAAAATGTGGATTACCACATATAAAGTAGATATTACGATTAGTTAAAGTTATTGAACTAAAATTAATAAAACTTTAATCTTTCTAAACACCAATATTTTATTTATGAGATATCTCGCGTAATAGAAAAGCATTCTCATACTATCTATATATATATACGTACGCACGCACGCACACACCTAAACCTAAAAATCAAACCAATAACCACCTAACCCTAAAAATCAAACCAATACCCAATCAATATATAGATCCCGATCATAGGATATAGTCAAAGTACTCTAAGGTAAGTTGACCAAATCGGTTATGGATCTCAACTTTGTACGATTACTCCTTTAATAGTGAAGGTTGTATTTCTGAATTTCACTCTGGTGGGTGGCAATTGAATTTTAGAAGTGGTTTCAATGATAGGGAGGTGGAGGATGTTGGCAATCACTACAACTATTGGGTGAAACAGTGGCAGAGGAAGATAAAGAGGAGGTTAGGGTATGGACAACAAGTAAAGATATTAGATACTCTGGTTAGAGCTGTTATAGCATTCTGCAAAAGCAATCAAAAGTATTTTGAGCCAAATTGGTCAAGGAAAATGTTATGGAAGTCCAAATTGCTATGGAGTATGGACAAAACAGACAATTTAGTTTGGTCAAATAGCAGGGACAAGTTTTTCACAGTTAATAATTGCTATAAAATGCTTTTACAGCAGAATAGTCATGGGACTTCTAGTTGGCCTTGGAAGGTGATTTGGAAAACCAAGGCACCTGTAAAAGCAGCGTGTTTTGGTTGGATAACGACTAGGGAGGCTTGTTTAGCTCAGAGCAATTTGCAGAGGAGAGGTTTCCCATTGTGTAGCAGATGCTTTTTTTGTAACAATGAGGAGGAAACAGTAGAGCATTTATTTCTGCGTTGCAGGTACTCCAGACAATGCTGGAAACTATTCCTTAACAATATGGGTGTATCTATTGTCTTACCACAGAAGATCAAGAGCCTGTTGGAAAGTTGGTAATCTCAAAGAGTAAGAAGAAATTTGAAGCAGATATGGAGGACTATTCCTAATTGCATTATGTGGACTCTTTGGCTGGAAAAAAAATAAAGCATGCTTTGAGGGGAAGAGGCTGCAGATTGCTAGAGTAAAAAATATGTGTATAAAGAATTTATATTATTGGTGATGTAGCAGTAATCTTGATAGGATAGATCAATATTAGGACTTGTTATATTTATAAGGGGGAAATATGTACTATGACTGGTGGAAGTATTGCTATCTTTTTGTATCTGTTCCAGTACCATCTTGGTACCAGATGAATAGAAGACATTACTTACTTATCCAAAAAAAATTGTTATGGAAGTACAAAGCACCAGTCAAGGTGTCCTGTTTCGGATGGGTTGTCATCAGAGAAGCATGCTTAACCCAATATAATTTGCAGAGGAAAGGTTTCATGTTAAGTAATAGATGTTATTTTTATGAAGATGAACTGGAATCAGTCAATCACCTATTCGTTCATTGTAAAGTTGCTAAGCAATGCTGGGAGCTCTTTCTAAATCTGTATGGTGTAGCTTGGGTAATGCCTTCAGATGTCAGGTGCCTACTGGAAAGCTGGAAAAGCCAGAAGATAGCAAGGATCCAGAACAATTTTGGATGACCATCCCTTTGTATATTTTCTGGACTATTTGAGTGAGAGCAATAGTGCTTGCTTTGAGAACAAAAAGTATCATATTTCTAGAGTCAAGAACCTTTTTCGGCATTTTAATTTTTGATGGGTGACCCCCTGGGAATTTCTTGTGTTGCATCCCTCTTTTCCTTATAAAAAAAAAAGAACCTTTTTCGGCATAATCTATTTTTTTTTGGTGTGAGAGGAGTTTGCTTGGGAATATGGATCAGTATTTGGATTTCTTGGATTCACTTGGAAATTATGTAACTTCAAACTATTGTAGGGGCTGTGTGGTTTTTTGTTCTTTTATGTACTTTCTTTGTACTTTCATTAATAAAACTTTTACCTTATAAAAAGTGTTCTCTTAATCTCATAGAGTTTACTTACACTCTTATTTTATTTTGATAAGGATGATGATAAGTTGATGTAAAAGAAGAATCTATGTTAAATTTCATTAATTTTGACCAAGATCATGTTCTAGAGCTCAAGTCCAAATAGATGGACTTAATTTCAAGAAGCGCAAGAAGTCCAAGAAGCTCAAGATTGATTTCAAGAAGCCAAGATTCTTTCCTTCTTAAAATAGGATTTATTTTATTCCTTTTAGAATAAGGATTTTTCTTTTTAGTAGGATTCTAGTTTCTTTTCCTTGTAGAATAGGGATTTTACTTTCCTTGTCTTTAGTTATTTTATTTCCTTATTAGAATAGGAATAGTAGTCATCAAAGAAGAGACCTAAGCCTATATAAAGGGTTCCCTTGCCTTGTAAAAGAGGGAATTCACGTTTTTGAGGCTTGACCTAGTTTTACAATAGAGTGTTTTTCTCTATTTTGTCTTCTTTATCCTTGTTTTTGGTTCCAAGCAAGGTGGTGATAGTCTTTATCTTGTTTTCAATTGCGTGTGGTGTTTCTTTATCACGTTAATTGATTCCAAGTGGTGACTTTCGGAACTTGTTTAGTTCTTGATCTTTCAAGAACACGTTTCTTGATCTAAATTCGTTTTTTGATTCATTGAACTGGTGCAACGTCAATATTTACTTGTTTTGAACGAGTAAATAGTCTTTCTTATAGTTCAGATCGTCATCTTTCACCTCGTTTTTGAATCATTAGATTTCGAGTCCTAAAACATGAGATACGTTGTTTCCTAAAAGTCCGGCCATAACCCACGTTTTCATTTCAAGATCTTGATCCTGGTCGGTTGGTTCTTTGTTAACTCGAAGAATCACATCAATTTGGTATCAGAGCTATAACCCGCAGGTCCAAAGGTTGAGAAATCATCATGTCTAAGATTCAACCAAGACGAAGATTCTTGGTTCAAGAAGATGAAGAAACGACACAACATAAATTTCTTTTCCACACTAGATGTACCTCCCATGGAAAAGTTTGTTCATTGATTATTGATCGTGGGAGTCACATAAATATCGTTTCTGAAGAGATGGTTTCTAAACTCGGCTTGTCAACCAAACTTCATCCATATCCTTACAGCATTGAAGTTGAAGATGACGATGCTTTTGAGGTAACTCGTCAATGCCTAGTATCTTTTTCTATTGGTAAGATCTATAAAGACAAGATTTGGTGTGACGTAGTGAATATGGATGCTTGTCACTTATTACTTGGAAGACCATGGGTTTATGATAGGTTTGCTAAATATGATGAAGACCTTAATACCTATTCTTTTACAAAGGATGAACGTAAGATTATTTTAGTACCATTGAATCCCGAAGAAATTGCTACAACCCAAGAATGATTCTTTTGTGACCAAATTACAAACGATTGGTCCAATCAATAGAGAAAAGTCTTTGAGTATTGGTATTACTATGGAGGAGCACAAGGAGGAGCATGCACTAGATGCACAAGTTGAGTATTTACCTCCGAAGTTTGATGATGATCCAATAGAGCATCCCATATGTGAGCTTAACTTTTCATCTAATAGAGATGCTCAACATAATATTGATTTGATTGTTGATTCCATCCTTCCAAACGAGGTTGCAAATCGCATTAATCCAAAAGTCCATGAAATTTTGCAAACACAAGAGAAAGTGTTGCTTAAAAAGGAGTCTATAATGAGAAATTTTATTTTGGGTGAGACTCACCCAACAAAAGTTGTATGAGGCCACCCTTTATATTTGACAAATGTGATTGTGGGGCCCGTTTTCTGACATTGGTTAAATTTGAATTAACAAATAAGAATAAGTGATTTTGTTATTGATTTGGATCCCACTCCCACTCATATATTCAATAAATAGATAGTTAAATAGATATTGTACGAGGGAAATGAATGGATGGAAAAATATGAAAGCCATTTCACTCCTTAATTACCATAATTTTGTTGATCACCACCAAACATAAAATTTATAATTTTGTATATATTTGTCTTCTTCTTCTTTTTCATTATCAAAGTTCGTATCTTTTCAAAACCGTCTTAACTTATCAAAGCTTTAAAAATGAACCTTTAGATGTTGTTCATTGATATAAATAAATATGAAATATGTTATACATAATTTGTCAATAAAATGCTTCTCATTTGATACAGAAGTACAAAAAAGTAGTCACTAGCATTGACGACTTTTGCATATTGATTCATTTGCTACTATGTTTAACCTGCAAGATCATTATAAAAATATTATTTACCATAAAATTAAAATAAGATTAATATAAATTTTTATCATTAAGAGGATGTTTAATCACTACAAAAAAAACGTATGTTATTGTAGCGGTTTATTTTACGTTTAGTGACGGTTTCAAACTGCCACAATATGCTCTAACAGCGTTTTTAAGTCAAATTTAAATTGACTTAAAAGCTTGTCAATTCAACTTAAAGCAGTTTATGACTTGTTTTAGTATTTGATAAACTTAAAAGTAATTTTAAGTCAAGTACTTTTAAGCTAAAATAATTCAAAACAAATTAAAATTTATAATTTGTGCATCTTAACTTATTGTTTTTTTGGCTTAAAAACGCTTGAGTTTTGTCCAATTAATTTAATTTTTTTACCCTTATAAAATATTCCCTCCCTATAAAACTCCTAAAGGCTAAAGCCAGTCATTTCTATTGATTTGATTATAGAGAAAATCGAAATTGGTATACACTAATTGCTTCTCTATTTGTTTATTTTTTCGTTTATGGGTTTTTCTTAATAAGTTTTAGTTTTTAGTTTTCGCAATTCGAATTTTCATGCATATTTCCCTTAAAGGCCATGTGCCTGAATAAATTATATTAAGATTGTGCAGTTCTCTAATAAAATTTATTTTATATAAAAATAGTATTTTGGACAAACTAACATAATTACTGTTTAAAGAAATAATTATAACTAGGGTAGTATATGTGATGTTATCAAAACGTGTTTCGCAACTTGAAGTTGAAGGCGTGCTAGAACTTGGATGTATACTTGGAAATTAACAGTTATTTTCTTAATTATATTAAAATTTTGCTCCTTATGCATTTTAATTACAAAGTAATGTCAAATTATTATTACTAAAGGTTATTTAAATAACTAAATAATTCAGAATGGGGTTTAGATTAATAGCAATGAGGAAACGGTGTTTAAGGACAAATTTTGTTTTGGGAGTTATTTCAAGTGGAAAAACCGAAAAGCTCTTATTTTTAAGTGTTCAACTTCTTTAATTCAATTCAGATGGAGATAGTGGCTTTTACGTGGGACAATAGTCCAATTTACTTTTATTTTTATATATATCTAATCCTTTAGGTGGCCCACATTCCATCAATTCACTATCTATAAGTCAATGTCAGTAAATGGGCCCACAATCACACTTGTCAAATATAGAGTGTGACCCTATACAACTATTGTTGGGGGAGTCTCACCCAAAATAAAATTTCTCGTCTATAATGGAAGGTTTGAGTTTAGATTTTGTTCCAGTTTTTTTAGTGCCTCCAAAGAATAAATATTTTCAAGTGAAAATGTTGGTTTATGTTTAGTTAACAATGGCATGCTGAAAATGTTGGTTTATGTTTAGTCAACAATGGCATGCCAATTGGAAGAGTTGGTGGAAAGAGTTGGTGTGGATGCTAGGAGGAAGCTTCCTCCTTTGATGTCACCCATGACATCAAGAGGAGGTAGTTTGATGTCAGCAATGACATCAAGAGGAGGTCTTTACCTCTATAAATAGATGCACTCCTTCACTTGTAGAAATCATCCCAAAATAATACAATACATTGTAGTGAGTAGAGAGTTAAGAGAGAAATTCTCTTAAGTGTAATTGGGAAATCTCCCCTTCCTTTGTTAATATTAAAAGGACAATTGTTCTCTGGTGGACGTAGGATTATTTTGATCCGAACCACGTTAAATCTTGTGTTCTTTCTTTTACGTTTCCGCTAACATCAAGCATATGTAGGAACGGGAAATCTTAATACAAATTCTATCAATGATTATGATCTAGTTAAATATGAGAGCGTTGTTGCTGATGAAGTCTCAAGAAGATATACTTCGATCTCCAAGCTTGATCCAAAGGTACTTGAATTTGATTCTTCTAAGGGTTTTCGTGATGCTAAATTGAATTATTTTGGAATATCCCATAAGCACCACATTGACATGGAGAAGTTCAAGATTTCTGAAGATCAAAAGAATATAACTTATGAGCATGGATTAGTGTTTAAAAATCGATTTAAGAGGATTCATTGCAGCAATATTGGTACAAAGTTACTATTGAGAAAGTGGAATTTAGTTCAGCCACATGCTAAGCTTTGTTACAACACGATAAAGCTTTTTGACAAGTTAGAAAAATGCAACTTAGAGCCTGGTGAATATAAGTTCAATCAAAGCATGGAAGTTGCCAAGCTTGTGCCATTTGTGGAACCTTTAGACTCGAGGACGAGTCTTTCTCAACCAGGGGAGAATGATGTAAAAGAAGAATCTATATTAAATTTCATTAATTTTGGCCAAGATCATATTCTAGAGCTCAAGTCCAAATAGATGGACTTAATTTCAAGAAGCGCAAGAAGTCCAAGAAGCTCAAGATTGATTTCAAGAAGCCAAGTTCTTTCCTTCTTAAAATAGGATTTATTTTATTCCTTTTAGAATAAGGATTTTTCTTTTTAGTAGGATTCTAGTTTCTTTTCCTTGTAGAATAGGGATTTTACTTTTCTTGTCTTTAGTTATTTTATTTCCTTATTAGAAGGAATAGTAGTCATCAAAGAAGAGACTTACGCCTATATAAATGGTTCTCTTGCCTTGTGGAGGGAATTCACGTTTTTGAGGCTTGCCCTAGTTTTACAATAGAGTGTTTTTCTCTATTTTGTCTTCTTTATCCTTGTTTTTGGTTCCAAGCAAGGTGGTGATAGTCTTTATCTTGTTTTCAATTGCGTGTGGTGTTTCTTTATCACGTTAATTGATTCTAAGTGGTGACTTTCGGAACTTGTTTAGTTCTTGATCTTTCAAGAACACGTTTCTTGATCTAAATTCGTTTTTTGATTCATTGAACTGGTGCAACATCAATATTTACTTGTTTTGAACGAGTAAATAGTCTTTCTTATAGTTCAGATCGTCATCTTTCACCTCGTTTTTGAATTATTAGATTTCAAGTCCTAAAACATGAGACACGTTGTTTCCTACAAATCCGGCCATAAACCACGTTTTCATTTCAAGATCTTGATCTTGGTCGGTTGGTTCTTTGTTAACTCGAAGAATCACATCATAAGTTGAGCTAAATGAAAAGAAATATCGCCAACCCCAACTTGTTTGGGATTGAGTCATAGTTGTTGTTGTTGTTGATTCTCATAGAGATTGATAGATGACCGAGAAAAAATCTTTGCGGGCACCTAGAGTTGGGTATTTGGTATACTATAGCATTTCACTGTCACCAAGAGTTGCATTAGGTGTAACATACTTTATATTAATATGATGTGGGACAATTCTATGTTGCTCTACGCACTTCGTAAATAAGACTTTATTAATGTAGAATTTTATCAAAGAAAATGTAGAGAATGTAACTAGAACAATAAGCAGTGAATATATATTTATTATTCTATAAAATAATAAGCAGTGAATTTCCTTTCTAGTTCTTTTCCGAGTTTCGACCACTTCTGGATGCTTACATACTTTATATATCAAAAGGAGTAGTTCCTTGACAGAATCCTTGTTTGTACAAATATTCTTCATATTTCTAGTGGCCTCTGGTTGATCTTTATGAAATTTTGTTGCAGATTTTACCATGTCTGATAGTCAGAAAGAACATGTGGCGTCTATTGAGCAGTTTGTGCCTGGTCTTGATTCCTTGAGGCAGAAGGTTTGCCATGAATTATCTGATGGGCAATTTTGGATGATCTATTTTGTTTTATTGCTTCCAAGGTTGAATGGGAATGACCTGGAGCTGTTGTCAACTCCTGAGGCAAGTTTCTCTCTGATAAGTTAATAAACTAAATGGCGCTGTTTTGCCTGCAATTCTTTTATAAATTTGTGAGTGGAGAGGAGATTTTTAATATGAGAAAAATTTGCAGTGCTGTAGATTAAAAACTGTATGCTCTAAAGTACTGCTACTACATCGCATAGCATTTACTGAACAATAAAATGTCCAGTTCATTGATGCAAGTTGAAATAATTGCATTCTTAATTGCTGTGTGATCTTCTAAGCTGGTCTCGTTCTATAATAAGAGAAGAAAGTTTACATGGCCACTAGATAATATTTAATATCATCTATTGACCTGATAAAGAAGTGGACCTTGGGCCTAACTCAACATCAAAAGCTAGCGCAAGAGGTGAAGATTGTCCTAGATCATACAAGGAAACAAATCCTCATTTCACCCATCGATGTGGGGCTAAACACCCCCGCATCTGGACCGTGGACATTATATGATGGGGTCCAACATCGGGTGAAACAGGAGTTGGGTGGGCCTGGCTCTGATACCATGATAAAGAGATGGACCTTGGGCCTAACTCAACCCCAAAAGCTAGCTCAAGAGGTGAGGATTACCCAAGACCATATAAAGAATTAGATCACCATTCCACCCACCGATGTGTTGAAGCCTAATATTGGGAAAGTGATGAGATTTTTTGAATTTACCTTATCCAAAAAGTGAGGAGATCTTTAAATTTATTAGACTCTTATTGTTTTTCTTTTCTTTTTTTTTTTGGGGGGTGGGGGGTGT